GACCCCCGCCTCCCGCCCCGCTCTAACGCATGGTCACATTCTCTCCCAAGAGTCTCAGAGTTCTGAGGATAAAGTTCAGACTCCTTAGTTTAGAATTTAATAAGGCTCTTATAACACGGCTTTGCTTTATGTCTCTATTTTTATCTCCTCCACACACATTATTTGCTAGAGCCATTCACAATAAACTGAGATTTGCCCAAATGCATGGTATTTGCTTGTTTATTTGTTTTGGAACGGTTTGTCAAACATATGACACTTTACTCAACATTTGTACTGAAAAGAGCATTTAACACAAGTGTTCAAGTCAATTTATTCCACAAAGCATACCAACCGGTGTGATCAGCACCCAGATCAGGAAACAGAAAGCCAGCGCCCTGGAAACCCTCTATGGCCCCTTCTGTCATTCCCGCACAAAGGAATCAACATCTTGACTCATAACACTCAACATTGTACCTTGCTTTTTTCATTCTACTACACCCTCCCTGAGAGTTTCCCCATATTAATAGGAAAGATCTGCAACCCATAGGCATTGGGTTGGGACCATTGGTGGGTCTTGGCCTCTCTCTGAGCCCTTGGTGTTCCAGTTATTAAAGACTTTGAATATACCTGCATCATATTGTTTTATGTAGCAGACATAGTTTCCTCTGGGTAAACTATTCTCACCTCCTCTTCTTTACCTCCTTCCCACTTACTCTCTTTAAAAAGCACCATCACCCTACCCATCTCTCAACTCCTGTCCCAGGATCTAAATCTAAGGTACCTCTCTGCACTGGCCTTGTCCACTAGACTGCTTGCTATCTGGATATACTGGTACTTGCTGTCTCCTCTCCTAGATTGTAAGATGCTAGAGTAGGGACTGATCATATTTACCTTGGTATTTTTGGCTTTGAGCATAGACCTAGTTTATGGTAACCTTTCAACCAATGTTGCATAAATAAAGCCAATGCACGCATGAATGAGACCCACGGGTTAACTGGAGATGCCCCTCTTTTCTTAGAGATCTTTTAGAGACTCTCTTTGCTTTATGTATGGTTCTTCCTGGCTCACTGACCCGAAGTTACATCCAGCCCTACAAACAATTGTTGTTTCTCCTTAACCCTGGGACAGAAATAAAACTGGCTGCAGAACTTCAAGCGAACGGCATGTTCCCAAAGACATGTGCTTTCCATGAGCGAATCTGGATGCTGAAGTACACTGCGAGAAGCTTGAAGGATGCATTGAGAGATGAAAGGAAAAAAGCAATGAACAGCAACAACAAAGAACAATACCCTGGGGCCAGGGGGAGGAGGGAATGTGGATTTTGGTACAAAGAGACGGGTCTGATTAATGCATGCTGCTGTTTGCTATTTTGGTTTCTGTTTAGATTTATGTTTTGATCCCAGACTTTCCTTTCAGAACATGTCAAGTCAGCAGGCGATTGGGCGGTGGAGTCTCTTCCATTAAAATAGCACATCTTATAAGGCGCCACGCAACGCTGAGTTCCCCTCTTTGGGAGATGAAAGATTTAAAGCATCGTTAACTGCCATTGGCAAACCGCCTAGGATAATCCAAGGCAGTAGTGACCCTCTCGCCTCTTTTGTTTCATTTTCCAAAATTTTCGCTGGGCTG